TTGATCCCTCTGGAGGCAAGTAGGAATACCTCAAGTAGGAATATCCAAATCATAGTCCCATGTATTTTACAGCAAATGGATATTGCGGTTTTGTTGTTTCTGTAATGGGTCATTCAAGCATGTACAATATATAATTTTTTTTAGGCAATACAATTTGATAATTGATTTCTCTGAATTGACTTTGTTGAGTAATTGGCTGTATTTTACTTTGGTACTCATATTTTGGTTTAGTTTGTGCAATGTGATTTGATTTCTACTTTTCTAAAGACAGTTTTACCTACCTGGCCAAAAAGTTAAAAAACAAAAATAAAAACAAAAACTTACCCATATTCTGGTTTAATTTCACCTGTCTTTTCTAAAGATAGTTTTTGAATCAGTCTACAAATCCAAGATAGTGTACATTGTGGAGTTGCACATGATTGGTTTGATAACTATTATGGCATGTTTGACATCGTGTACATTGCGGAGTTGCACATGATTGGTTTGATGACTATTATGGCATGTTTGACATCGTGTACATAGCTCAGTGGTAAGAGCATTTGCAGCAGTCTCAGGTTCGAACCCCAATTACACCTTCCCCACGTCCTCCCAAACTTTAACCCCCAAAAAAACAAAAACACAATAATGGCATGTTTACTTGGGAATGGAAAGAATGAGTCACTCCCATTCAAGGTCATTCTAGTGTTTACCAACACTTGGGGAATCAAAACAAGAGTGAAGCCCGCAGAAAATCAACAACCACACTACGAACTTTTCCCGATGAGATTTTATGGGAGTTATTCACACTAACACCCCTGAGTTTTGTGTTGTCTTCATAAAACCCCCGAGATTTCTAAAATTAAACAAACACCCCCTGAAATTTCAAATGGTTTTCACAAAACTCCTTTTCGTTGATTGTTCGTTCAAAAATTGATGATTTCCTAAATAAACAACTTATGCAAATAACAAATTTAATCTCAACAAATGTATATGTAATTTAATCTTAAAGGGTAATTATGTTATTTGGAAATTTTATATATATATATAAAATCATCAATCATTTGGAATATATATATACATATATATATATATATATATATATATATGATCATCAATCTTTGGACCAAAAATCAACGGAAAGGTATTTTGTGAAAACAATTTAAAGCCTCAAGCGTGCTCGTGTAATTTTTAAAACCTCAAGGGGTTTTGTGAAGGAAAAAAAAAGTCTCAAAGGGATGTTAGTATAAATAACTCAATATATGGCGATGCGTAATATTGTGAATGCTGGTGATCATGTACCATCAATAATCCATCTTTTCTACCAATAATACCCTCATATTGTTATGATATATAGTTTCCAAAAGAATAAAGATTTTCCCTAACCCAAACAAACAACTAACTAATAATACCCTCATATTGTTATTAAAAAGATGAACACATATCGATTTGCCTATTTTTCTCAGGGTTGACTAATGAAAACTTGTGTTATGAACAATGATGAAACGATTGACAAATAATACAATGATTGCCAATCATTTTTTATTACTTATAAATATATTGTAAGTAATAAGTCTAAGATACAATAGAAAATTCTATCTTAGCAAGGTGATAAATCATTTCAGTGGAGATCAAATGAACCATTCCTTATCAAAAAAAAAAAAAAAGGAGTTGCAGAAGTAGTAAATCATGCCTAATAGAGGTACTGCACTAAGACAATCGTCTGAGGCAATCAATCAAGACATCAGTGTGTTCCGGCTTCCCGACAGACATGCGAACATAACCACTCAACTCTTTGTTGTTGTAATGACGAATCATCACACCCATTTTTGCAAGGTCCTCCTGCATCAAAATTTAAACCTTGCTATAAACGTTACCTTTATGCAAGTTTCAGTGGTGTTTTTCTGGGCCTACAGTGGATCAAACCAATGTATATGGCACATGATACAACCTCAAACTGACTTAGGTAAACACCAAACTGTACAGAGCTATCTTTGTGATTTAGACTTCTTTTCACCTGTTAAACTAAAAAAACTTCCTGTTAAATCTTTTTTGGGGGGGTGGTGGTGTGTTAGCAGGGTCATTCGTTTGAGAATTAAAATGGGGGAAAGCACTGGCAATCTAGAGAAGATTATCATACCCAAAAAAAAATCTAGAGAAGATGGGGTGGAGTTCTAAGCAGTACTTCTAAAGCTAAGATTGCATCATACAATCCTTAGCAAAAAGCTTCATAAGTTCTATTATTGAATTAGATGAATTGTGGCTTTCATAACTAGTCCAACACGAGCTTACACTATAGCACTCAAACCTAGCAGAATGGCTAAAACTACTATAGGGTTGAATTCCTTTCCACTCTTCTCTTTTCTTTCTTCTCACTCTACTACTGAAACCCTAATAATATGCATTGCTCGAATGCAATAAATTGGATAAAGAACCTCAAATTTACTAGGATGACGACACAATGCTATATGAAGGAAAAGACTTAAAAAAAATACCTCTTTCACCATCTCGTTTATTTGGCAACCCATATTAGATATGGTGATAAGCACAAATGATACCTTCTAAGAACTGGTCTTAAAATACTTCAATTATTATCATTCACAGGCATGGGATTAATCCTAAGAATCATAACCTCGAGATAGGTGGGGTTCTCCAATGCTGCGCAAGCAGAAACTTCAGCAGCAACAGACACAGTATATGGTTGCTTTGCTCGCCAAAGATATTCAATGATGGTCAATGGAAATGCTCCATACCCAACGCGGAGTCCAGCTAAGCCTGCACCATTTGCCCATTCCCAAAAGAATTTAACCATTTATATAAAAGTTGAAACTAAGAAACTAAAACATTTACAAAATCAATTCAAAACTGAAAAAACAATTAACATGAAAATATGACAAATCAACTTTGGCAAACAACCCTACACTCATTGTTAAATTCACAACATCCATACACATGAAACATCAAAATGACATGCATGCAATAGCATCAGTAAAAGCAGCAATTTATAGTTCGAATCTGGCAGAGAAATTAAGTCTCTCTCTTAAAAAATTTAATAATTTTACCCATTCAAGTTTTGAGTTACCCTTTATAAGCATAAACTTGGCTGGCACTGTGACACAACTTCAAGGCATCACTACTGGACGAACAGATTAAACGATTTGAGACATTTATGGGGTATTGCAGCAATCATAATTTAATACCAAAACAAAAGAAATTAAAGAATACCAGCTCGCTTGCTAAATGTCCGAAGAACAATTAAATTTTCATACTTTTTCACCCATTGCAACCTCGATTCGAGACCTGAAAACTCAATATATGCCTCATCCAGCACCACCAATATAGGAAGCTCAAGGACTTTTCAAGAGAATCTCGTCACTGATTATACTGTCATAAAATAAGTAGAGCATGAAAATCTAATATCTTAGTGTGAAATACAGATTCTAGAACAGTCTGCACAGTTTTTAAATCAGTATAAACCAAATTAAATTAGTCTAAAGCATGGAGGACAATTAAGAGTGATAAACAATAAAAGAAATCAAGAGCCAGTTTTATCAAGATTTTCATAACCCAAGAGGCAATTTACAGCTCATCACACTAACCTTAAATCCAAGTCAAACACCAATATCATGTCAATTTCTTGCTTGATAACTTTCTCAGCGAGACAGCTGGAAAGATTCTTATCCTTTCCTTTTTGCTCAAACAAACAGGCATGTTTCCTAGTTGCACCAGTAGTTTTAACAAACCGATACGCATCCCGAAAATTGGCCATACGAGACTCCAAATGTGCACTTGCTAGGGTTCAACTTCATGTGGTATTTTCGGAATAGTCTGAATGCTTCGGCAAGATTGTTAATGTGATTTGCTCGTCAGAGAGCTTTAACTAGCATGTCATCTACGTAGACATCCATAGTCTTGCCGATCTGCTTTTTGAAAATCTTGTTTACGAGCCTCTTGTACGTTACTCTGGCATTCTTCAGCCCAAATGGCATGTTTGGGCTTTCCAAATTTTGTAATTTAGGTTCACAAGTATTCAAGGTACAATTGATTCAACTAAAGCAAGTTCTTGTCATAGCATATATCCATAAGAGGAAACTTTAAAATGAAATGAAGCCCCATGAAAACATGGTCCTTCCATCCAATAATCCAACCAATTGATCCAGATTTAATACCATTGCCTAGCACAATAAACATCATGGAGTAGGAAAAACCTTTACAAGATGTTAGTGTCCATCAATGACAGTTCGGACCGTTAGATGTAAGCAGATCTAAAGGCTTTATCAAAAAAGAAAATGGAAGATTTACTATTATACCCAATATAAGGGCCCAAATTACATTTATAAAAAAATTTATAATTTTTAAAAAAAAAACCTACATGAAATTGACTTTAGAAATACATCCAAAATTCATTTGCAACATAAAAAAGAGGCTTCAAAGTTCTAATAAATTACAAAATTATCATCAATTTTCTTAAAACACGTACAACTCCAAAACTTCACCACAAAAATAAAAATTAAAAATTAAAAAATCCAAAACATTCAAAACAAGTCCAGCCCACATTTAAAAAAAAAACCAAACGAAAAACAAAAGAAATTAATAATGCAAAAGCAAAACAATCACACAACCCAAAGAGTCATTATGGCTGTTAATATACCTTCTATGACTACTAATACATAAACCAATCATGCAACCAAAGCTGATTGTTAATACACATTTTACGGCTGTTAATACATTTTGTACTATAGTCAATACACTTTATATGTGTTAATATTTTTTTTATGAATGTTAATACACATTTTATAACTGATAATACACATTTTACTACTATTAATATGCATTCTACGACTATTAATACACTTTTTTATGACTATTAATACACAATGAAGATATTACAAATTATGTAATACTTATTACAGAATTAACTTATTATGCGAATCACGAACATATATTATGCAATGCTTCGTATTGTAACAACCGGTCACAAATCTTCTTATTAATTATGAAATTTTAGCGTACATTAACAGTTTTGCTCAAGAATTTCAAGCTATTTTTTTTTGGCACTAATTTCAGAAATTTTATTTATATCAGGACATTTAGCTCGTCTCCACGAGCACACAGGGGCAAACGGCATGTAATTCGAAGTTCAAACGAGGAAGTTAAGTTGGTTTAAAGTTCTAGGGTTTTCATTGGAAAAAAAAAAAAGTTTAAATATCAGACGTGAAAAACAGGGCTGCACAGCCCCTTGATTTTCCGGCGACTTTTCGGCACCGTCCATTCACGAGTCCTTCACAGAAGTTGCTTGTCATACCCTCCTCTATCATCTCCTCAGAAGACCCAACCCAAAAGGCAGATGTTTCCATCCAATTTTGGCTGTAAAATCCAGCGGTCGCGCAAGTGTAGCAGCACGACCAGCCAGCTTTTGGTTTTTAGGCCGATACATTCATCTATTGCTGGAACAACTTTCTAGTTGACTACACCTTCATCGGAGAAACACAGCCGCTGATAGAGGGCTCCAAAGTTCACTATGGCAGAGACCACAAATTTAAATATCAAAATAAGAATTAAAAACAAAAAAACAAAATTTGAATCCAAATTAGAAGAAATCCAAAAAAATCTCACCTAAAGCAAGGGCAATATAGGTACTTTAGATACTAAGTAAACTAATAAACTTGCCAATTGGCCAATTTTTGGTTTGTTTATATAAATGGTTTTGAGTTTCTTTATGGTAGTAGTGGCCTAAATGTGTATGGTTATAAATTTGTAAAAGAAAAAACCCATGTCCCAGGATCCTGACCCTTAGGAGGTACAGAAAACAATTCATCAGCAGCATGTGACCTGGAAAAAAATAATTACATTCAAAGTGTGTAACCAGCTCCTGTAACTATAAACTTCCTTTTATTGCCTCAGAACATCTAATATTTCTTTCTTGAACAGTAATTCCGGGAGAGAATCAAAATTCGCAGATACGAAAGATAATAAACAAAAAGCCTCCTCAAACACCCCAACCTCATGTGAACCATAAACTTGATTGTGCAACTATTCAAATTTCAGCAGTATGTACAAGCTAGATGTATTGACCTTATATGCCATCACCATCCTGACAAAACATTAACATACTAAAAGTTTCATCGTTACCGAGACAAAGATTACAGTTTTCTGAAGATACTGATAATGCCATTCGCAAATGACTTCATATTCCCCCATAGAGTTGATTTACTTGAAGGCTCTGCATCATCAGCCTGCCTACCAGGAAGGTCTCTGCAAAACGAATAATTGTGTATAACATTTTACGCAGAAGAATATATGGTTCCAAAAAAAAAAAGAAATGATGGGATACTTTTAGGTGAAATAAAAGAATTCAAGATATGCCCATAGAACATAAAGCTAAGTAGATTAGACATATTTCAGATGGGATTAGCCTATTAAGGCTTCAACTACATATGATTCTTGTATAATGACCCTTCGCCATGGCAAACAAATGTGACAAGGCAATAACTAGGTTGATTGGTTTGCTAAATATTGACTCACCCACAATCCAGGGCTGGTGGTTGAGTGGTTCATTAACATCCACCAACCAGAGTAGAAGAGGTAAGATACCAAAGTAAGATTTGAGTTACTAAACTTAACTGCTGCCTGATGCACAAGGAATACAGCCAGCCTCAGAGACCAAACTAGAACTCATTCAAATAGACCCACCTAATCCAAAAATGAAGACCAATCCAGAAGAATCATATCAGAAAATACAATCCTGTCATGCCAACTCCTCTTCTCTATCTTCAGAAAACCTTTTGTTCTTCTCCCACCAAACCACCCAAGTAGATGCCAAACAGCACAGTTCCTAACCATGACATATATCTTCAAAAGATACAAAGATAACACCATTGCAAATTAATGTCTGGGATCTTGACATCAAGCTATTCACACCACCTTTCAAACTCTGCGAGAGAGAGAGACAGAGAGAGAGAGAGACAGAGAGACAGAGACAGAGACAGAGACAGAGAGACAGAGACAGAGACAGAGACAGAGGACAGAGAAGAGACAGAGACAGAGAGAGAGAGTGTGTGTGCAACTGCAAATCAATTTGCTTGATATCTTAATATCAAGCCATTCACCTTTATCTTGGATAAACAAACAAGAAACCAAATCATATTATTCTGTACATTCTTGGTGGATTGCTTGCCCATGTTACTCTACAGTTTCTCTTGTGAAATAAAAATTTCATCTTTTCGTTTTTTATATAAAAAAACAGTAATCTTCCAGTAGACACATGTATGAGCAAAAGGAGAAAAAGAGGGCCACAAGGTTAAAAACAAAAAACAAAAAAATAACAAAATAACAAAATAACAAAAAAAAAAAAAAAAAAAAAAACAGAATAGTGACCCCCACTAGTAGTATCAATAGAGAAGATGTTAAAAGGTAATCTGGGGTCATAACTCAGAAACACAGACCCACAAGAATAAATTCCATTTCACACATTAATTGCACATGAATGAGCAGCGCACAGTAGTCAGTTCAGAAGAATAGTTCAGGCGTGATCTTTGAGCTCAGATTGTAGACAGTCAATTTCAGTTATTTTCTTCATACATTAATTGAACATGAATGAGAAGCACGCTAAGTCCAGAAGAATAGTTGATCGTAGCACTTCAACTATTACCATATGCATGACAATCTAAGCTAATCATGGTATGAGAACCCAGGATGGCCCAGTTCTGTTTAGTTGTGTAGGATCAAGCAGGCACATTCAACTTTGTACTTACAATTTTAACCACTCATCTTTGAATTGGACATTTTACTATTGTGCACTCATTGACTGCTGAAACTTAAACAAAGTGCGAAGTCATTTGCTTATAAATATAGTAAAGTTATAGAATAGTAAGCTGAAAAGGAAGGGTTTGAGCAAATGGTTTCAAGGTCTTTCCTAGCATGTTAAACGGGTCAAATAAGTTGAGAATGGCGGAACTGGGGACTAGAGTGGATGAATACAAAAAAATTTGTGTTGATTATGGTTCCAATTAATAAAGAAGCCGAATCCATAAACTAATGATGCACCTATCTCCAATGTTTTATCTTTCTGTCTCTGGTGCCAGCCTCCACAGCTTAGTGTGTCCAATACCATGTTTTAGCTCTATAGCAGCAAGCATACAACAAATGTCTATGATTTTCATGTGAGCACATCTTAGGAGCAAAAATACATCATCACATTGCTTGTGGAATAACAGCAGGTGCTGCAATGTCAATGACAATGACATTACTAAGTTAATAACATACTGTACAAAAGAAACTTACTTGGGAAGTTTGTCTGGCTGAGGGATCTCTTCATATTTCTCTCTTTTACACTTTGAATCTTCTAAGGCATGTTCTTGTTTTTTCATATCCTGTGTATCACCAAAACTTGGAGGAGAGGCTCTATTAGCCTCCCTTATTGGCAGATCTTTTTCTTTTGCAACAAAATCTTGTTTGTCAGCTTCAGCTTCCGCTCTTTCACTATTCTCAGATTTGCCAAATGGATGAGAAACAACCTCTAATCTTTCTTCTGACAATTGACATTCTTTAGAAATAGAACCAGAAAGATTCTGCTTAGCTTCCTCCTTACCATTACTAAGTTCATCAAGGTCTTTATAAGAAGATTCCACAGAATCCACTTTCTGCAAATTACTTTGTGTTGCAACAAGATCAGAATCACTTCCCTGCAAGAAAAAAACACAAAAGATATAACTATAAGTCTACTAATATGGAACATCTTCCATGCATCGAAGAAGCAAAAGAAATTTATTTATGGTATAAACATGATATTCGACACGCATGAAAATTTTAAAAGAATCAGTGAGCCAAGGTTTAATGAAGAATCTAGCCATGCACCTCAAATTCGAAGAACTTGTGATGATAAGGGTCGATTCGATATCATAATACATTAGGACAATAATAGAGATGAGAAGAAGAAAATAATGCTTAATATAAAATTCATGCAAGAACATGAGGAAGACTCAGGATGCAACATTTTTGAATGCTTCTACAAAGGTTATAATGCATAAACATAAGTTATTAAAAGTTTACTACAGTACTGTAGCCTTAGTCTTGCATTAAGTTGAAATTTAAAAGAAGAAACAAATAATATAGTGTTGTTGATATAGGAATTCATATACTAGGACAAAAATATGAGTGGTAAAAAAACAAGCCTAGTGATTCACATTAGGCTCCAGACAAATGCCATTTAAACCTCATTGAACACAAGCCATGTGCAAATTTCATTTTTTTTTTTTTAATCCAAATAGGATATTATTGGAATCTGAACAATGGAAATATAAAGAATAAAACCAAAATTTGATTAATGCCATACACTTACTCGAGTGATAACCTCTTCAGACAAGATCTCAACTGAGGAGGAAGCCTGTGCCTCTTCCTTGGCTTCTAAATGCCTGCCACTGGCATCTGCTGACACCCCATAGGTTGAATTATCTTCAACTCCAGTCAGAGATTCAATTTCTCCAACTTCTTCTTGTTCTGGAAGATCAATGTCATATGTCTCTGCGGACACCTCAGAGATTGAATTCTCTTCACCTTGAGTCAAAGATTCAATTTCACCAACATCCTCTTGTCCTGGCAAATCAGCATCATATGTCGCCTCAGAATCAGTTTGAGTGCTGGCATGTGCTGACACCTGACTGTTTGAATTCTTTTCAACTTGAGCCAAAGATTCAATTTCTCCAACTTCTTCTTGTTTTGGCATATCCGCAGTTACGGGAGACCAGGGAGACATCTTAGCTTTGTATTGTAACTCCTGAAGGATGCTTTTTACCACATAGTAAGAGCCACCCAGTTCTTTCTGAGTACATGAAACAGTAGGGAATGCCCCAGCATTCATTGCTCTGTACCTGAAAATAATGACCAAAGTATCTTCACTTAAATCCCTAATGATAGAAACCCAAAATGAAATTGCAACATTCTACAGCTTATTCAATTTCACCAAATTAATCAAAGCTCAAATTCATGACAAAACTCTCTAAACAACAAATGTCCATATAAACAATCAAGATCAGCATTTCCAAAGAACAATCAAGACCAAACACTACAATATTCATATAATATACTTACTTGTTGACAAAGGGTTCAAGCATAGCTTGGCGCTCCGCTTTGGAAAGCCTTTTCCCTTTAACTCTGCGGACATTTGGGTTTGGTGCTTCTGCCACTGCTTCTGCTTCTGCCTCTGCATCTGCCTCTGCATCTGCCTCTGCAGCTGCAGCGTTAGCGTTACCAGCGTACGGCCTTCCACGCCACCCACTCAATAAAACTGCCAAAATCCACAAAGAAAGAAACACAAATAATCTTAATCACACCATATTTTTCACGTACTCTTTCAAAAAATTTATATATATATATATATATATATATCTGTTAACTAAGAGAAAAGAAATTACCAGATTTGTTGAGGTGCTTGTGGGAGTTGGAGGAGGAAAAAGTGAGGCTTCTTCGTAACATGCTCTGTGGCGGTGCATGCCCTATCTCTACAAGGATACAAGTACATCCATGGAAAGTAGGATTTGCATGTCGCTCTGTCTGATTGTCTAAAGCCTTTGATTTTCTCTGAAAGACAAGAGGAGAGAGAAGAGAACTCAGAGGAGCGAAGGGTTTTAGGATGTTTTTGTTTTGTGGGTCTCATCAAAGTTCAAAAGAAAGAGACGAGAACAAGAGGGGCTTCGGCTGTAGTAAACACCGTTTTGGACCAAGAGAGTTTCAAGTTTGAATTTGTCCATAAGGCCCATACTTTGGAAGGGTTATTTTGAACCTTTTCTTTGCTCTATGCACCCAACTTTTTAATGAATTTTACCTTTTTTTAGGGCAATTTTAAAAACATAATACTCAATTAAAATAAAATCTGATTGTTTGGATTAATTTCTCCATATAATCACTTTGACTTATTTACAGCAATGCCTCTTAAAATTCCGGTCAAAACTCACTTTGCCTCACCAAAATAGCCTATTTCTCCCCCTTTAACAAGGGAGTCCGAATTCACTGTCTCCAAATTGGTGTTCCCTCCATGTCCCTTTTATAAAATCTTGACACATGTCCCTCAATTCAACAGAACTTAAACCTTGTGTAACACTGTTAAGTTAAACGACACTAGAAAAACTAAAAAATAAAAGAAAGAAAACAAAAACAACCCAGCATAGTCACGACCTACCCCAAAACTCTTACAGCCAC